TGTGTGTGTGTGTGTGTGTGAACATGTATGTGTTAGCACATGCTCGTCGTGAGTGTGTGTGCATGTGGGCAAGCAACTGCACGTGCGAGCACACACGCACACACATAACGGAAAGAAAAAAAAAAAAAGAAAAAAAAACAAAAAAAAAAAACACTATCGATTCAATCAATCAATGGAATCGATTAATTGAATGCTTCAATCCATCAATTTGATAGAATTGATTGAATCATTAGTTTTTGTTTTTGTATGTGTCTGCGCGTGTGAGGTAAGGTGTGTGCGTGTGTGTTAGCGCTTGCGAGTCGTGAGTGTGTGCATCTGTCTGTGCACCTGTGGGTGAGCGCGTGCACACACAGACACAAAAAAATAAAAATAAAAAATCTATCGATTCAATCAATCAATGGAATCTATTGATTGAATCCGTTCAATCAATTGACAGATTCAATCGATTGATTGGATTGGTAGGTCTTTTTTTTCCTTTGAAGCGGGGCTAAGTGTGCCATTTTTTATTTTTTCCTGTTTCTTTGTTTGTTCTTTTTTCGTTTTTTTCCCGCTTTTCTTTTCTTTTTCGGGGCCGTGGCCCCCAGCCCCGCTCCCTAGCCCCCCCCACACGCCAACCCACGTCAAAAGCGGTTAGGGCCGTTCATTGGGCGCGCACTCAACGCGTTCAAAAGTTGAACAAGAAACGCACGTTCAATGAACATGCGTGGCAACGCAGCCTACCGGACCACAGTCATGGCTGGTGGCGCCCAACAAAAAAAGAAAAAATTGCGCCTTTGGCGGTTGGGAAAAGCTCAGCGCACAGTGCAGCTCCTCCAGGGCCAGGTATACTGGTGGTTTACATTATCAGCACTGTCAATTTCACGTAAAGAGAATTGTTTCATAGCCTGCAGAGAAATTTTCCATCACGAACGTATCGGATAGCCTGCAGGAGAAAGCGCAACCATATTTTCTTTTTCCGCAGCCATGTTGAAACGGTTTTCACCTTTCTGTAGTCACAGATGCGGGCATTAGAGTTTGATCCCCAGACCTTGCCTTGCCCATGTACAGTATCGAGTTGACCCCGGAGTGTTTGAACCCGTGACCTGTATTTTGGTAGTTGTTTGATGTCTGTTGTAAGTCTGTGTAGTTGTAGGGGTTCGATCTGTAGTAGGGGTCACACGT